GCTTAAACGGCTAAGGCGGCAGCCACATACACCAGAGCTGGCATGTTCAAATCCAGCCCTGGCCTGCCAAACAACAATGACAACTACAACAAAAAAATAGCTGGGTGTTGTGGCAGGTGTCTATAGTCCCAGCTACTTGGGAGGCTGAGGCAAGAGAGTCACTTAAACCCAGAAGTTGGAGGTTGCTGTGAGCTATGAGGCTAGGGCACTCTACCCAGGGCGACAGCCTGAGGCTCTGTCTCAAAAAAGTAAATATATAAAAGTAAAGCAAGAGTTGATTTCCTTTTGTGGGCATATAACCTTGTAACCATACCATATAGAAATGGAAAAAGTGGTTATGGCGCCAACCACATAGACGGAGGCTGGCAGGTTCCAACCCAGCGTGGGTCAGATAAACACTGACAACTGAAACAACAACAAAAAATATCCGGGTGTTGTGGTAGGCACCTGTAGTCCTGGCTACCTGGAAGGCTGAGGCAAGAGAATTGTTTAAGCCCAAGAGTTGGAGGTTGCTGTGAGCTGTGACACCACAGCATTCTACCAAGGACGACATAGTGAGACTGTCTTAAAAAAAAAAAAAAAAAGAAAAAAGTAAATTTCTGTTGCCCCTCTACCACATGATCCTTGGATTGAAAATCTTCCACTTTCTCCTAGCCCAGGCATAGAGTAGTTTTATAAAACTCAGGGGACAGCCTGACAGGGAAATTACTAGGAATGTGGGAAATGCCCTAAGAAGGACCTTGCAGGCAAGAAACTGGTCTCTCCCTGAGTGGCCTCAGGAAGTGGCTTGAGCCAAGGACAGGGAATAGTCCTGTAAGCCCTGGGGCCACTTGCAGAGGAGAGGGAGGCAGTGCTTGTGGCAGTTTAATACCAGCCTCACACAGCCTGCATCTCCCCCTACAGGCAACTTAGCTCCTCAAGCTCCTGTTGGTGGCAATTTGTCTTGTTTAGGAGCAGTAGAAATGCCAGCATAGGCCATAAACACAAAGCCCACAGGTACAGTGATTGCTGTGGAGCCCTCTCACCTGATACCACTACCACTGCGTGCTTTCTGAGATGGGCAGACCTCAGATGGCTACACCTGTAATAGACCTGCAGAAGGAGAGGATAGTGGGAGGTTGGAAGTGGGACTAAAGGAGATAGCCACTGGTGGCAGAGTCCGAGGCACCTAGGATGCAGGTACCCAGCATATTTACTGGTGTGTCCAACAGGGGCCATACCATATTTACTGGTGTATCTAGTATGCAGGTACCACACCATATTTACTGGTGTGTCCAGTGGGGGCCCAGTGGGCACAAACTTGACTCAGCCAACCAGGACAACTTCAGTGAGGAAGAGAGGCACCCAAGGCAGTCTCTGGTGTGGCCACTAGTGAACAGAGTTGAAATTGTGGATCTTTCCTGGGGCTTCAGTGTGGGGCAGCAGATGAGAGTACAAAGAAGTGCTCAGCTACTGCCAGCAAGCTGGGTGAGTATTCATGGCTGCTTTCCACCTGTACCTCCACCTTGGCCACCATGGCAAAGCCTGAGAGCAGTGCAGACATGTGACTAGAGGCTTTGACCTTGGCCTGGCTGAAGTAGAGTCAGCACCAGCTGAATACCCACAGAAGTGAGTGAGGCCATCTCAGGGGCTTCTACCTTCTGGGTTCAGTGAGGCCTGTTTACTGATGTCTTCCTCACTGCTCTTGATTCTGGGCCAGCAGCCCTAGATAGGCCAGTTGGTCATGAAGTGGGGTGGGGCACCTCAGAGGCCGAGTAGGCTGGGATATGGGGGCATGCCCAGGCAGGGTGAGCAGGGATGCTGGTGGCATGCACCCAGGGAGAGGTGGCTCCAGCAGAGCAGGAAGAGCAGGCATCTGTGTGGAGCCTCAGGGGCCAAAACTTAACAAAAAACATCTTCCAACAAATTATTTAGCTAGAAGGAATATAAACAGGTATACAGCCCTTTGAATCAGTAGCATCAAACCAGAGTTGTGATGTATATTTCAGTAAAAATGGAAATAATACTTTATCAACTGTCCATGGCATTGTTAACCTGAAAACCTATGCATATATGTATATGAATGTACCTTTCTAGCCATTTTCAATTTTATCTGCCTTAAAAACAAATGCAAAGGCTAGGCATGGTGGCTCATACCTATAATCCTAGACCTCTGGGAGGCCAAGGTGGGTGGATTGATTGAGCTTAGGAGTTCAAGACCAGCCTAAGCAAGAGGGAGACCCTGTCTCTACTAAAAATAGAAAAACTAGCCAGGCATGGTGGTACATGTCTGTAGTTCAGCTACTTGGGAAGCTGAGGCAAGATGATTACTCAAGCCCAAGAGTTTGAGGTTGCTGTGAGCTGTGATGATACCATGGCACTCTAATCAGAGCCACAGAGTGAAACTCTGTCTCAAAAAAAAAAAGACAAAAACAGCATTCATGAGAGAAAGTAATTACATTGAATGTGAATAATAGAATTCCGAACAACACTAAATGACTTATAAATGTCCAGATAGTTTTTTAGATATTTAAATTTTTGGAGAGCTGATAGTAGTATATAATAGTTTAGAAGCTTAAATATTCTATTTATTTATTTATTTATTTATTTTTTTTTT